CGGCACTGACCCTCCGACAGTGCGGCACTCCCTCAGTACTGACCATCACTGAAGTAATAGAATGTAAGGCCGATTTCTGAATAAAATTTGTGCATGGATTAAAAAATAATATTTATTGTCAATCATGTGACACAAAAACCAATCCAGTTGAATCTGAGTTGAAGATTTCCGGTTCCGCGAACCCGTCCTTCCTCCTCCCGCCCTGCAGGGAGCGCTCCGGCTCCTCCCGCCCTGCAGGGAGCGCTCCGGCTCCTCCCGCCCTGCAGGGGAGCGCTCCGGCTCCTCCCGCCCTGCAGGGAGGGCTCCGAGTCCTCCCGTCCTGCAGGGAGGGCTCCGGCTCCACCCCCTCCCACGCTGATTGGAGGGGATCTGGCTCCGCCCTCCGGTCCTGCAGTGTGCGCTCTGACTCCTCCTGTCCTGCAGGTTGCGCTCTGGCTCCGCACCGCCCGCTCTCCCGGCGTGTCCTCCGAGCGTCTCTTCTCAACTCGCCTCTGGGCCTCGCTTTGTCCGCCGCGTTGACGTCAGCGCTTCGCCCTGCCTCGCGGCGCCGGTCTCACCCCGACCCCTGGCTCCCCCAGCTCCGCGCCATCGGGTTCGGGTATCCTCCTCCGGGTCGGTCCTCCGAGCGGGACCTCTTGATCCGACCGCTGCTCTTTGGTCAGGTGCCGGTCCCGCCCCCTTCCGGGTAGGGAGTGGGTGGGGTGTTGCCTCACTTCCGGGTTTCAGGCCAGAGCCCAAAGTGGAGGAGAAGGAGGAGGCTGCTGTTTGGGGAGGTGGGGGAAGGGGGAGGGAGGCTGGAGCTGGGCCATCACTGTACCCTTCCCCCCCTTTCATAATTAGGGGTGGGGGTTGGGAACATAACACTGCCCAGGTATATGATGTGGTCTAAGGGCGTGGGAGGGGGCCAATTCCTGCTGGTGACTCCCTCCAGGAGTCAGCAGGGGCTGGATGGAGCGAGTGGCCTCCATCCCTCCCCTCTGCCGTTGGCTAGTACGGAGGGAAGCTCTCCCCCACTTCCTGAGACCACCTCTCATTTACCCAACCCTCCCCCTCCTCCTCGCTGAGTCCCCTTACCTGTGGACGCACAGTGATGGCTACCACAGCTGAATTTCTCTCAAGTGTCTATTGGATTTTATTTTTATTTTGGTGGTGTGGTGGGATGGTGGGAAGGAGAGCCTGCATTGCTGATTTGGGGCTGGGAGGCTGGAGGGGTGGTATTCCTGAAGCTGGGAACCCCAAACGTTTTCGAAGAGGGTGAGTGGGTGGGTGGGATGTGTCAGCCTGAGCCCCATCCTTTTGCACCCTCGCCCTGGCTGCAATGCTCCCGCAGATGGGTAGAACGGGGGGAGGTATTAACGGCCGATCATCGCCAATAGCATCATGCTACCCCCCCCCCTCCCCAAGGCAAATCAGAATTGAGGAAAACTGTCCTGTCCCAGACAATAATGGAGCCATAAGGTCTCTTCAAGTAAGAGCAAGCCCCGTTTGACAGCTGTTTGAGACCTGGTAGCTGCTCCACATTGAATGAGATCACGGCTGATCGGTTTGTGGCCTTTGTTTCTACCTACACCTCCCCGTCCCCGCCCCCCCCCAACACTATCAAATGTTCAGCCCTCAGTAAATACAATGATGTAGCCTGCGGGACACCGTTCCAAAGTGTACCAGCCCACTGAGTGAAGATGTTCTTCCTCGTCTCCATTTCGGGTTGAGTCCCCTTATTTTGAAGGCTTTAGCCCCTTAGTGCTAGGTTATCCTGCAAAGAGAGAAGGTTCACGCAGGGTGTAAATTACGAGGGCAGACCTGCAGGGTTAAGGCTTGTGTTGCTGGCTGGCATAGCATGAAAATGACCCGTGACAATGTGCTTTTCTTCCCTTGCCTTCCAGTGACGGACACGGCAGCCCCGGGGAGCTGAGTCTTGCCTGGACTGTCATGAAGGAGAGGGAGATGCCAGGCGCAGGCTCCAAACGTGCCGCGGCAGACCCTCCGCCGGGGCCTCCCGAGAAGTCAGCCAACCTGGAGGAATCAGCGGGGAGCTCGGGAGCCAAGGTGGAGACCATCAAACTGGGGAGCGACACATCTACGGTGAGTGACACCCCTGCTCGTCATCGATTCAATCAACAAGTGGCAGCAGTAGGCCATTCAGCCCCTCTGCCTGCAAATGAGTCCCTCGCTGATCTGATTGTGATCTCAAATCTATGTTCCTGCCTAACCCTGATCACCTTTCACCATCTCCTATGCCTTTATCCTTCCACCTCCTTTTCAGGCAGACCCACCACCCGCTGAGAGAAAAGAAATTCGTCTTAATTTCTGGGTCACCCCTGATTTTGTTATTAAAATTGTGACCCCCGATTCCAAATTCTCACATTTTTCTCTACACCCGCTCTGTGAAGACACCTCCAGTGTCTTTTATGTTTCAATCTAGTTGCTACTCAACCCTTCTAAACTCCGGATACATACCTAGCCAATTTGAACTTGTCTCGTAAGACAATCCACCCGTAATAAGTGTTCTCTGAACTGCCTCCAACACATCCTTCCCTAAATAAAGGGTCTGATACTCCAAAAGGAGGACTGTCCTCCTCAACGCCTCCCCTCTCCTGAGGCTTGGTGACCCTCAGATTAAACCACCACCAGTTGTCCCTTTTGAATGAAAGACCAGTCCTATTGTCTGGCAGGACTAGAGCGACATAACTCCATATCTGGTCTCACCAGTGCCCTGTATAAACTGAAGCATAACCAGCTGATTTTTGTATTCACTTCCCCTTGAGATAAATGATGGTATGATATTAGCTTTCCTAATAGTGTATCTGAGATATAACCCTTTTTGCGAAAATGCAATAACTCACCAAGATCCTTCTGCATCTCTGAGCTTTGCAATTTCTGACACTAAAGCTCAAAAGCCCATTCTGCCTGTGTTGGCTGGTCAGACATTTGTACTCGATGTGGGATGAGATATGGTGACCCAGTCCTAACGTGACCCAGAGGCTCAGGTTAGTGATCCCTATGGCAGAATCTTCGTCCCCACCCCGGCTCCTGGAGGATTTGAAATTCAATTCAGTAATTTGAAAATAAAATTTTTATCTTACTGCAACTGGATTATTGTTTTAACCTTTTCTGGTTCGTTACTGTCCCTGAAGGGGTAAAGCCTGCCCCTCTTTACCTGGTCAATCCTCTTTACGCGGGAGCCCAGTTTCTCAGTTACATGATTAAATTATTCCTGCCTTCTGAAGTGGCCTCAAAAGTCACTTGCTCCCAGGACAAGTACAGCATGATATTAGATATGGAGTATAGCTCCCTCTGCACTTTCAACCTGAAAGTAAATCTTCCTCAATTCTGGAACAAAAACAGAAGTTGCTGGAAAAGCTCAGCAGGTCTGGCAGCATCTGTGGAGAAAAAAATCAGAGTTAACGTTTCGGGTCCAGCAACCCTTCCTCAGAACTTCCTCAATTCTGGTTGCCCTGTTATAGGAAGGAGGTAATTAAATTTGAGAGGGCTCAGAGAAGATTTACCAGGACGTTGCCAGGCTTGGGGGTTGTGGGTACTAGTCAGAGGCTGGATAGAATTTTGTTTTCGCTGGCGCATTAACAAGTGATCTTTATAGAGATTTATAAAATCATGAGGGCCATAGCTAAGGTAGTCACCAGCAAAGGTCTTTTTGGTAGTTTGTGGGTGTTCAGAACTGGTAGGGATGGGGGACACATTTTTGAGTTGAGGAGAAATATTTAGAGGGGACCTGAAGGGCAGTTTTTCCACAGAGAGAGTTGTTCATGTGCGAGATGATCTGCTCGGGGAAGTGTTAGATGCAGGTACAGGTGCGACATTTCAGAGACATTTTGATAGATCCATGAACTTGAAAGGTTTAGAGAGATATGGGCCAAATGCAGGCGAATGGGACTTGTTTGGTTTGGGAAACTTGGTCAGCTTGGACTGGATGGTCTGTTTCCGTGCCGTATGACTCTGAGGGTGGCTCACTACCTCCGTCGCATAGGCAATTGGGGTGGCACAGTGGCTCAGTGGTTAGCACCAAGGACACCAGTTCGATTCCAGCCCCAGGCAACGGTCTGTGTGGAGTTTATGCGTGGGTTTCCTCCCAAAGATGTGCGGGTTAGTTGGATTGGCCATGCTAAATTGTCCCAGTGTCCAGGGACTTGCAGGCTGGGTGGGTTAGCCACGGGAAATGCAGGGTTACTGGAGATAAGATAGGTCTGGGTGGGAATCTCTTCGGAAGGTTAGCATGGACTCAATGGGCCGAATGGGCTGCTCCCACACTGCAGGCATTGTATGTTTCTATGTAGTGACTTTGTTTTCGACTCCCACGTCTTTTAGATCACTGAATAACTTGAGTTACCCATTTGTCCCCATCTTGCTGCTCTTTTCCCCACCTCGAACATTCGCCCAGCAATGCCCCCATGCACCCCTCTGCTTTTGAAAGTTATTGCATTGGAGCTGCTACAATAGCCCGCTCAGGCAGAGTCTTCCAGATCACACCCAACTCCCGCACTTACAACAAAAAGCTTTTCCTCATGAGACTGGAGTAAGACATAGGAGAAAAAGCAGGCCATTCGGCCTGTCAAGTCTGCCCCGCCATTCACCAAGATCGTGGATGATCTGATCATCCTCTCAGAGAAAAGCTTCTCTGTCTTAATCAAATGACCCTTTACCCTGAGATTACGTTCTCTGCTCTCGGACTGTTCCCACAAGGGGAAACAACTTCCCTGCATCTACTCTGTCAAGTCCCCTAAGAAACATTTTCAATGAGGTTGCCTCTCGTTCTTCTAAATTCCAGTGAGTACAAACCCAACTAACTCGAGCTCTCCTCATAAGAAAATTTGAAATCAAAGCAGTGAAGCTTCTCCAGACTGCCCCCAATGGCAGTCTCACCTTCCTGAGATAAATCCACCCCCCTTTTTCCCTTCTGGTTCCTGTCCTGCTAATCTTTGATCTCTTCCTTCCATTTACTGGCCGTCTTGCCGCTGCATAAAGTTCATTTTCATTTATTCTTGGAGCGTTCGGTCAGCCTCTGAAAAACACCGTGAGTGAACCCTGAGCTCATTCCCAAAGTCCGAGATCGAGAGAATTCACCAAAGGATTGTGTCTGTGTGCGTGTGTCTGTGCGCGTCCGTGCGTGTGCACACGTGTGTGTATATGTATATGTGTGTGCACACGTCTGTGTGCGCGTATATGTACGTGTGTCTGTGCGTGCTCAAAGCAGGAGCGCCCATATCACTCTGCTGTGCTGCCAAATAGGCTCCAGGCACTCGGGTCAGCAGCAAGCTTATAGACCGTACCTGACTCTGACCTCTGACCTCACCTGACCCCCTTTCCCTCTTCCCCACCCCCAGGAGGAGCTCGACATCCGGACTCTCCAGAACAAAAACCGGAAGCTTGCCGAAGTGATCGATCAGCGACAGACCATCGAGGACGAGCTGAGGGAGCAGATCGAGAAGCTGGTGAAACGGCAAGCAACAGATGACGCCACCCTTCTCATTCTGAACCGTTACTGGTGCCAGGTAAAGCCTAGGCACTGCCCTCCCTCTACTGTCTCAACACAGACTTCCCAGGGCTAGACACAAAGCTCCGACTGCATTTTCCCTATTCATTGCTCGCAGGACAGAGATAGCACAGTGTTAGATATGGCAGAAAGCTGCGTCCACACCATTCCCATCGCAGGACAGGGACAGCACAGCGTTAGATATGGAGTAAAGCTACTTCTACTCTGTCCCCATTCACACGCTCAGAGCACTGAGACAGCACAGCATTAAGCTTCCTGTACGCTATTCCCCATCAAACGTCCCCAGCAGCTCTTGCAGTGCAGTAGTAATGTCCCAACCTCTGAGTCAGGAGGCCCAGGTTCAAATCCCATCTGTTCCAGCGATGTGTAATAACATTTTAAGCGGCTAATAGATAGGCATATGGATGATAGTATAAGGTAGGGATGGAGGTTAGATAGACCTTAGGTTTAGGGTAAAAGTTCGGCACAACATCATGGGCCGAAGGGCCTGTACTGTGCTATACTGTTCTATGTTCTGTGTTCTATTTCTGAACAGGCTTATAGTAAAATATTTAAAAAAAACCATAAAACGTATTCTCTGTTAACCACAATGGAAATCAAACACACCCAGCACAGGGACAGCACAG